ATATAATACGTAGGAAAATAACACATGGGGCTGGCCATTGTATAATCCATATAACATACATGTTATTTTTGTAAGAAATGGTAATTATAACACTGAGGCAAACACTTAGCATTTCAATATTCAAAACAAAAACTAAAACATTTAAAGAACTTCATCAAGACAAATTACTTAGTCCTGGTTAGATGCACTTAAATCTAAGTCTTAGATAAGAAAATAAAATTGACTTACAGGAGTTATTCTGAAGATTCACATAGAATAGTGTTAAATCTAGTAGTTATGATTAGAGTCATAAAAAGTGAATTTCCTCAGAAACAATTCTTAATACTTCAAACCTTACTAATCATAATTTATAAAGTTTTCATGAATATCATAATACTTACCAGTTATACCCTCAGCTAAAAGATCTGTCATTTTGCAACATGATGACAAAAGCCTAGTGGTAAAATCATCTAAGAGCATTATCTGAAAACAAATACAGATTACAAAATATGTAAGCCATCTAATTGCCAAGAATCACAAAAGACAGCATTTTATACATTTATCCTACTCATTCATAAGTTTTCTACAAAATAAAATTAAAATAATAGTATGGTCACACACACAAAAAAACAACACACCCCATCTTTGAATTTGCATGACCTAGAGATTTATTTTTCAATATACAAGTATGGAATATTATCTTTTCATTTCATTATCTAAGCCATCAAGTAGAAATATTCCTATTTTTAAAAAATAATTTCAAAGTAATAAATACAATTTATGCTAAACATCAAATTTCCTTAAAATTATAAACTGTCAATTCTAGAATGACAGTAACAGTTTCAGACACTATTTTAACCACTTTATATGGACTAATTCACTAAATATTTACAACTACCCTACATTATTGTTGTTAGATGCCACCAAGCTGACGACAACTCATAGAGAGCCTGTGAACAACAGCTCTGAATCTTGTACTATTCTGCACCATCTTTACAGTCTGTCATGCCCGAACCCACTGTAGTCGTTCCTGATCCATCCATCTTGTGGCAGGTCTTCCTCATTTTCTCTGATCCTTTTTCTCAGCATGATGTCTCTCTTCAAGGATTGGTTCCTAAGAATATGCCAACAATTAAGGGTTTCTGTCATGAAGTGGCACACGTAGGGTAACTCTATTGCTCCACGTGTGGAATGGACATCAAGAATATACCAGAAGATTAAGTTTCACCACCCTTACCTCAAAGGAGTACATAGGTTGAACTTCATTTAAGACAGATGTGTTTGAGCTTTTGGTGTTTCATAGTATATTCAATACTTTTCATCAGGACCACAACTCAAAGGCATCATTTTTTCTTTTGTTGTCATTATTCATTGCCCAACTATCAGATGCATAGGAAGCAAGCGAAAATATTGTAGCCTGGATAATGTGCTCGTTAGTCTTTGAACTGACATCCTTGCTTTGGAAAAGTCCTTGGCAGCAGATTTCCCAAATGCAATGCATCTTTTGATTTCTTGACTGCTGCTACCACAGATGTTGATTGTGGATCCAAGTAAAATCAATTTATTCATAACTTCAATTTTTTTTCTCCATCTATAATGACGTTGCTGATAAGTCTTTTGTCAATCCTGATACCATATTATTCATATAGTTCAGTTTGTTTAATGATTTGCTCCACATACAGACTGAATAGGTACAGAGAAAGAATACAATCCTGACTGACACACCTTTCCAAATTTTAAACTGGGCAATATCCCCATGTTCCATTCAAACAACTGTTTCTTGGTCCAGGTAGGTTTTACAATTAAGTGTTCTGGGATTCCTATTCTTCTCAATGTTAGTCATAATTTGTTCTGATCCACATAGTCAAATGTTTCACTTTAGAGTGAAGGACACAGGCAAGAGAGGACCTTTAACTTGTCCAAGAAGTTATAGCTACAAGGTGGTGAAATCAGAATTTGAATCCAAGCAATGATTCCAGAGTCTGTATTCTGATAGAATTATCATAAATCCTGAATATAAAAGATAAGTATGTAAATCCTACCTTCCATTCACCTTCTTTCTTACAGTCATCAAACACTGCTGCTTTTATCTCTGTAAAAGGAAAAACAAACAAACAAAAATTATGTATGCTTCTAAACAGAAATAGAAAAAACGACTCTAAAGGTCCAAAATGCCTTGGGAAAATTCCAAATGGGAGATGTGCTAAACTATACAAAACCCACATGTATTTGTCACAGATAAAAATCAGTACATCTTTACTGAAATATCTAAGTTATTTGTGTGGTGGTACAACCTTTGAAAATGGCCTTTATATCCTTTGCTTTAGCCCCCTCTTGAGAGCATGATCTTGTAGTTGCCTCTACTACAGACACATGGTTCATGTGGTGATCAGTATCTTCAACATCATCAACACTTCCAAGGCCAACATAAGAAAGAGCGCTAACCAGATTGTAAAGAGACTGTAATGATGCATAGCCTGATGGAACCTTGGAGATAGAGTCAGAGTTAAAGGTTCTGCTTGCTGGATGATTGAGGGAAAAGCTGACATGTGACTTCTATGAGACAGTGCTTGCCAGACAACTGAGGACCATCCATTTGTGTTGCTAGACTGAACTAACCTTCACTTGTTAACTGAGAAGCTGTCTGAACTAATTGAAGAATTATGTCTTGTTAAATTGTTTTAAGACTGCTGGTTTAAGTATGGACTTTCACTGTGTGTTACCTTTGCCTTCCCCAACCCTCAACCTATTTCCTTAATAAATGCCAAAACTGTGAGCAAAGTTAAGTCTGTGAGTCAATTTGCAGCAAACATCAGATACAAGACAGTGAATCAATTTGCAACAAAAATAAGCTTGCAATGAACATCAAACTACTTGATTAGAAGAAGTAAGTGCAGGAGCACAGGGGGTGCTATGTCTGATACATATAGCCATTTGTTTGGTACTGTGGATGTTATTGATAGGAAGAGTTCCCCTCTATAGAGTTAACTGTGAAGTTAGCAGAAGTTAGACTCGGCCACCTCCACAATGTTCCTGCTCCCTTTATAAATTGTACATGTAAACTTACCTATTTTTAAACATTGAGAATAAAAAAGATTTTTTAAAAGGCTAGTATATTTAAGTTATGAACATATACTGGAAAATATTTCTGCAAGTACTACCTGATTTAGGTTTTCTTTATTTATTTTGAGCTGTGGTGCTGGAGAAGAGTATTGAATGTATCATGGATTGCTAGGAGAACAAACAGGTTCGTCCTAGAGTGGGTGAAACCAGGCTGCTCCTTGGAGGCAAAGATTCTGAAGCTTTGTCTGACATACTCTGGACATGTTGCAAGGAGGGGTCAGTTCTTGGAGAGGGACAGTGCAAGAAAAGACTCTGAATGAGATGGACTGATTCAGTGACTGGGATAATGGGGATAAGTGTGTCAGAGACACTAGGATTGGCACAGGATATATCATGGTTCAGAGCTGTTGTACATAAGGTTGCTATGAGTGGCAAGCAATTTGACAGCACAGAACAACAATAACAACAACATTTAAACCTCAAGTAAAACAGTATGAAAATAAAAGGAGGAAATGTGTACCAAGACAAAGAAAATGCTTAACTACTTCATGGCTAAACTGCATCTAAAAATCAAATCTAAATTAAGTATTTTTCATCCTGATTGTCTACATTAGGATTTTTAACAATGTCTATATGATAGCAGAGAAGACACATTCACTCTTGATTATAATCAGTAAGTATTATTGATGTTACTAGAAATTATTTAAAAATTTAATATAAAAATAATGAATATGCAGGTGCAATCAATTTAACTAACCTGTTCTATTTTATAACAACATTATTTTCCTCATCACTGGGACAATGGGCAACACCATGATGGATGGAGAAGAGATTGAGGTTGTTAACAATTACAGCTTGCTTGGCTCCACAATCAACACTCTTGATACCAGCAGTCAGGAAATCAAAAGAATAACTGCATTGGGAAAAATCTGCTGTCAAGGACCTCTACCGAGTACTGAAGAACAATGATCTTAGTCAAACTAATGTCTGTCTGATCCAGGCCACGGTCTTTGCAATTACTTGCTATGCATCAGAGAGCTGGACAATAACTAGGGATGACAGAAGAATCGATGCCTTTGAGTTGTGGTGCTGGAGAAGAGTGTTGAATATACCATAGACAGCCATGAAAACAAATAGGTCTGTCTTAGAGAGGATGAAACCAAGCTTCTCCTTGGAGGCTAGGATTTTGAAGATCCATCTCACATACTCTGGACATGTGGCCAGGAGGGACCAGTCCTTGGAGAAGGACATCATGCTCTGAAGGGTGAGGGGACAGCACAGGAGAGGAAAACCCAAGATGAGATGGATTTTCACAGTAAACGGGGCAATGGAGTTTGGTGTGTTGGAGTCAGTGAGACTAGCTCAGGACAGGACAGGCTTCAGAGCTGTTGTACATAGGCTGCTGATTTGCAGGTGACTCGATGGCACATACCAACAATGCTTTGTTAATTTTACATTTTGTTAATTTTATAAACTGTATTCATCTTCAAAATGGTATATGTTGTTAGGTGCCATTGAGTCAAGTAGAACTCTTAGTGACCTAATGAACAACAGATCTGAGCCTTGCCATATCCTGTGTCATCCTTAAAATCTTTAGTATGCCTGAGCCCACTGCTTGTCACTGTGTGAATCCATCTGACAAGCTTGACGCTCAGAATCTCTGATGCTCCACCTTTCCAAACATGATGTCTTTGTTCAAGGGCTGTTCTTTCCTGATGACATGCTCAGAATACGTGAGATGAAGTTACACCACCATTGCCTTTAAGAAGCACCCCCTGGTTGCACTTTTTGCAAGATAGATATGTTTGTTCTTCTGGCAGTCCATGAGTCATTCAGTACTCTTCTCCAACACAACAAGCAAAGTCATCAATTTTCCTGTGATCCTTAGTCACTGTCCAACTTTCAAATGTATCAAGTATTGAAAAAACCAAGACTGAGATCAAGACACCTTAGTCTTAAAATTGACAGTGTTACTCTTCAGCATTTTGGTGAGGTGCTTGACAGCAGATTTTTCAAATGCAACACATCTTTTGGTTTATTCACAGCTGTTACCATGAGCTTTGATTGTGGATTAGGATGAAATTGTTGACAACTTCAATCTTTTATCCATCTATCATGATGTTGTCTATTTGTCCAGTGGTAAAGGATTTATGTTTTCTTAATATTGAGATGTAATCTATATTGAAGGCTATGATTATTTTTTTTTAATTTTCTGTAGCAAGTGCTTCAAGGCCTTCTCAATTTCAACAAGCAAGGCTGTGGTACCTGTATAATGTAGACTGCTGATGAGTCTTTCTTCAATACTGATGCCACATTCGTCTTCATATATTCTAGTATCTCAAGTGATTTGCTTCACACACAGATTGACTAGGTATGGAGAAATGATACATCCTTGATGTACATCTTTCCAAACTTTAAATCATTCACTGTTTCCTTATTTTGTTTAAATAATTGCTTCTTGGTCTATGTATAGGTTTCATAAGAGTACAATTAAGTGTTCTAGGATTCCCATGTTTTGTTAAGATTCACACAGTCAAAGGCCTTTGTATAGTCAATAAAACACAGATAAATATCTTTCTGGTGTTCGCTGCTTTCAACCAAGATCCACCTGACCATCCTTTATGCCAGCCTTTTTTCAACACAAAATCATTTATGTTGCTTCTGTTGCATACCATCAAGTTGGAATTGACCTAGAGCTGAATAAATTTTCAGTTAACAAACTGCATAGGAAGAGACTATCCATCTTTCTCTCATGGAGCAGCTAGGGAATTCAAATCAGGTACCTTTGGGTTAATAGTGCCACTTCTTACTCCTAAGCCACTAAAGTTCTCAAAAATGGTGTATATTGTTTTTGTTAGGTGCTGTCAAGTAGAACTCACAGTGACCCTCAAAACCAACAGATTAAATCTTGTCCTATCCTGTACCATTCTCATCATCTCCGACACACTTGAGCCTACTGCAGTCACTGTGTCAGCCCACCTGTTTGAGGGTCTTCACTAATTGTCCATCTTTCCAAGCTTGATGACCCTTTCCATGTGAAACAAAACTGTCATTCTTGCCGCCAAGGAACACTCTGGCTACACTTTTCCCAAGACATTTCTGTTTATTTCTTTGAAAGAACATGCTATTTGGTGCTCTTCTCCAACACTACAACTCAAAGGCATCAATTCTTCTGTCATCCTTAACTCAGTTTAAGCTCTCAGATGCATAGCAAGTGATTGAAAAGACTATGGTTTGAATCAAACTGATATCATTATTCCTCAGTATTTTGGAGAGGTCTCAGACTGCAGACTTGCCCAGTACACTATGTCTCCTGACTGCTGGTACCAAGAGTGTTAATTGTGGCTCCAAGGAAGATGAAATTATTAACCATTTCAATCATTTCTCCATCTAGCCATGATGTTGCTTATCATCCCAGTGGTGAAGACTTTTGTCTTCTTCGGAATGGCAGTGCAGCTTCTTGCCACTAGGCCACCAGAGTTCCCTGATTTCTATCTTCTTGATGTTGAGATAAAACCCATTTTGAAGGCTGTAGTAATCTTTGATCTTCTGCAACGAGCATTTCAAATCTCAGCAAGCAAGGTTGTGTCATCTGCATAATGCAGATTGTTGAGTCTTCCTCTGATCTTGATGTCACATTCTTTTTCATAATGTACAACTTCTTTATTGATTTACTTACCATACAGACTGAATAGATATGGAGAAAGGCTACAACTCTGAAGCACACCTTTCCTGACTTTAAACCATGCAGTATTCCCTTGCTCTGTTTGGACAACAACTTCTTGGTCTCGGTATAAGGTTTATATGACCATAATTAAGTCTTCTGGGATTCCTCTCTTTCTCAGTATTAGCCAAAGTATTTCATGATCCACACAGTCAAATGAATTTTCATAGTCAATAAACCACAAATAGACATTCTTCTGGTATTCTCTGCTTGCAGCCAGGATCCAACTGACATTACAATGACATTCCTGGTTTTTGGATAATCTTCAACAGTATTTTGCTTGCATGTGACATTAATGATACTGCTTAATAATTTCCACATTCTTGTTAGGTCACCTTTTTTTGGAATGGGAATAAATATGGATCTCTTCCAGTCAGTTGACCAGATAGCTGTCCTCCAACCTGGTAAGCGCATCCATGGTAGATGTTTGTTGAAATATGTCAATTGGTATTCCATCAATTCCTGGGGCTTTAATTTTTGCCAAGTCCTTCAGAGCAGCCTGAACTTCCTCTTTCATCACCACTGCCTCCTGATCATATGTTGTTTCTTGAAATTCTTCTGTGTCGGCCAATTCTTTTTGGTACAGTGACTCTATATTCCTTCCATCTTCTTTAAATACTTCCTGAATCATCAATATTCTGCCCATAGCACTCTTTTTTTAAAAAAAAAAAATTATTTCATTAATTTTAATGAACATTTATAGAGATTTTGGATTTCTATTCATTCATTGTTTCACTTTTCTCCCTACCCACCCCTCACCCCAAGATCGCTGTTCTCTTTGAAAAGCAAAAGAAAAATTCCTTCATTGGTATACAATCCCTCCACGCCACGCCCCCCCTCCCCCCAACATCCCTACCCCGGCCCAAGTACACTCTACTATGCAACATTCATTCTGGACTCTTCTCATAACCATAATGCCCAATCATATATCGCTTTTAAACTGTTCTCTCCCTCATCTATTTCAATGCAGTATACATAATTTACCCTATTTTTCTCAGTCTTACCCCATCCCTGATATCAGTTCCGTTTTACAACAGTGACACTATGCAGTATTTGTCTTTTTATGACTGAGATGTTTTACTCAGCATAATGTCCTCCAGGGTCACCCATTTTGAATAATACTGCACGAGTTCCTTATTTTTCAATGAAGCATAGTATTCCATTGTATGAAAATACCATAGCTTCTCTATCCATTCATTTGTTGATGGGCACTTAGGTTGTTTCTAACTCTTTGCTATTGTGAACAACGCCGCAATAAACATGGGTGTGCATATATCTGCTTGGGTGGCAGTTATGGTTTCTTTAGGGTGTATTCCCAGTAGTGGAATTGCTGGGTCAAATCGTATTTCTATTTACAACTTTTTGAGAAAGCGCCATAAAGCCTTCCATAGCGGTTGCACCATTTTACATTCCCACCAACAGTGAATAAGGGTTCTAGTTTCTCCATAAGCTCGCCAGCATTTGTTGTTTTCTGTTCTGTTAAATTTTGCTATTCTTACTGGGGTCAGATGATATCTCATAGTTGTTTTGAGCATTCTTAAGTATTACAACTTGAGGCTTGAATTTGTTATTTAGTTCTTTCAGCTTAAGAAATGCCAAGCAAGTTTGGCCCTTTTGATTTTTTTAACTCCAGATCCTTACACATTTCATTATAATGATTTGCTGTATCTTCCCAAGCTGTCCTTTAAAATCTTCTATTGAGCTGCTTAACTTCTTGATTTCTTCCATTTGCTTTGGTTTCTCAAAGCTCTAGCGCAATATTCAGAGTCTCTTCTAACATCCATTTTGGTCTTATGTTCTTCCTTTGTCTTTGTAATGACCTTTTGAATTTATTTTTTTTCATTTTCACAAACAGTATTTATTAGTACTTTATGATATGATTTTTGTGAAAATACACTGTAGATTTTCTTTAAAATAGGCATATAAAAATCCATAATATCATTAAGATTCTCATTAGTGCATAATCCTAAACAAAATCCTTTAAACAGACTAGCCTCGTGTTACCTGGGAAGAAACAGTGACGTGGCCTACTGCTCGACCCTGACTGATTTGCTCATTACAGTTTTCCTAGAAGAAAACGGTCAGTGAGATACAAGACTCTGAGGACAAAACTCGTAACATACAAAAATCAAAATGTTTTAGAAATCCACTTAGTGAAGCTTCTGTTTGATTAGCTAACTGTTTTAATTACAGTTTCAAGTCTTACATATATAGAAATTTCTTTTTTTCCCCCAAAGCATATATGCAGGTATCCTTACAATTCAAAAGGGAAGAAAACAAACTTTAGATTTAGAACAGTTGCGCTTTTTACTTGTTGAGCTTAGTGGTCAGCATTTTTTCCCCCTTTCTCTTCTTTTCTTCACGGTTTAGCATTCACCTGGTTCATTAGCTTCTCCAATTTGATTGCTAGGGCCATGTTACCTTTAATCTTCAACTTCCCTGACATGAATGCCAATGTTGGCTTTAGCTTCCCAGAAAACATTTTTACAAAATCTTCAGTGGACATACTCATCACCACATCTGCCTGATTAGGAGGGTCTCCAAAGCCCACAACTCTGCCTTTGCTTTTCAGATCAAGAAACCATGTTCCACCATCTTCACCTGAGAGTTCGAACTGATAGACGGCTTAAGTGGCTTTAACAAGGTCATCATTGAGAGAGTTCTTGACAATGCGAAATGTTTCTTCCACAGGTCCAGAACGTGGCTGTGGTTGTTGCTCCTGCTTCCTGTCTTTGACTGCTAGAGTATCACCAAGTGATTCTACTTTCTTGGTAGTAGCATCTAGGATATCATCTAAGAAGAAATCTGGTATCAAAGGCTGGCCTGGTTTAATGTCATAGACATCAAAATTTTTTATTCCTTCTTCTTTTAAGATATTTTCATCAGCAATAAAATTACCAGTAAATTTTTTTGGCTTTTTGAAACTGGAATATGCAGCATCTGCAATGATACCAACTTTTCTACACTGGCTTTCAATACCAGATCCTCCCAGCATGTCCATAGCAGCAGTGTGTATGGCTGTTTTAGGCCATAATGCATTGACTGCAACTTCACCTTTAAATTCTTCTGCCATTCCAAGAACACACATAGACATACCATACTTAGCAATGGTATAAGCACAGTGCTGTTTGAACCACAGTGGATTGAGATTCAGTGGAGGGCTGAGATTGAGAATATGAGCAATATTACTCTTTTTCAAACAAGGAATACATGTTTTAGATGTAAGGTAGGTGCCTCTGGTATTGACATTAATCATCAAATCCACTCTCTTTGTAGGTGTTTCCAATGTGTTGGTCAAGCTAATAGCACTGGCATTATTCACCAAAATATCAATACCTCCAAATTTCTGGACTGCTTTCTCCACTGCATCACTGATTTGCTGTTCATCTCTCACATCAGCAATACATGGCAAGGCTTTTCCTCCAGCTGCTTCAATTTCTTCAGCAGCAGTATAGATTGTGCCTGGAAGTTTGGGGTGTGCCTGCGTTGTCTTTGTAGCAATGACAATATTTGCTCCATCCTTTGCTGCTTTTAAGGCAATAGCTTTGCCAATGCCACGGCTTGCCCCTTTGATGAAAACTGTACATCCTGACAGTTTCCTGGTGTTGGGTAGCATGACTCTTGCAGATCTGAGGCAGCGTCGGTGACCCTGACAGTGGCAGAGAGAGGTTAGCTAGACCGGGAACTGACCTTTTGCATTTTTAATGTATGATATTCTTGCTATCTTCCCACAGCTCATCTAGTCTTTATTCATTAGTAGTCAAGGCCTCAAATCTGTTTCTTAGATGCTTTTTAAATTCAGGGGAATAGATTCAAGATGAAATTTAGATTCCTGTGGATATAATTTGACCTTTTTTTAGCTTTCATTTAAACTTGTATATGAGTTGCAAAACCTATACTTGGACCAAGAAGCAGTCCTCAGAACAGAGCCAGGGAACACAGAGGGTCACTTTGGAATCACAAGCAACTCGAGGGCACATAACAAGAACAACCATCAAGTTTATGGTGATGCTGTGTTTTCAGTTGCTGTCAAGTCAATTATGACTTATGGTGACTCAATATGTCATGTTAAAAATTGCCAGATCTTCTGGCAGAGGGTATAGTCAGTAGGAGATACTCATTATACACCACAACAAGATAAAGGTAAACAACTCAATTGAAAAATGGGCACAGGATATGAACAGACACTTCACCAAAGAAGACATTCAGATGGCAAACAAGCACATGAAGAAATGCTCAAAATCCCTAGCTCTGAGATGCAAAACAATACCACTATGAGATATCATCTCACCCCAGTAAGAACAGCAAAATGTAACAGAACAGCAAACAACAAATGTTGGCGAGGTTGTGGAGAGACTGGAACCCTTATTCACTGTTGGTGGGAATGTAAAATGGGGCAGCCACTATGGAAGGCAGTATGGCGCTTTCTCAAGAAGTTGCAAATAGAAATACGATTTGACCCAGCAATTCCACTACTGGGAATATACCCCAAAGAAACTATAACTGACATCCAAGCAGATATATGCACAACCATGTTTATTGCAGCTTTGTTCACAATAGCAAAGAGCTGGAAACAACCCAAGCGCCCATCAACAAAAAAATGGATAGAGAAGCTGTGGTATATTCACACAATGGAATACTCACTATGCTGCATTGAAAAACAAGGAACTCATGAAATATTATTCAAAATGGATAAACCTGGAGGACATTATGCTAAGTGAAATATCTCAGTCACAAAAGGACAAATAATGCATAGTGCCACTGTTGTAAAACGGGACTGATATCGGGGTTGGGGGGAGACTGAGAAAGATGGGATAAATTATGTATACCATACTGAAACAGATGAGGGAGAGAACTGTTTAAAGAGATATATGATTAGGTATTATTGTCATGACAGGAGTCCAGAACGAAGGCTGCACAGTGGAGCGGACTTAAGGAAAGGGATTGTATAACAATGAAAGAATTTTTCTTTTACTTTTTAAAGAGAAGAACAAACTGGAGTGGGCAGGGAGAAAAGTGCAACAATGAATGAATGAAAATCCAAAATATCTGTACATTTTCATGAAAATAAATAATACTACTAATAATAATCATCAAAATTTTAAAAGGAGATACTCATAATAAGAACTGTGGCCAGTAATGTTTTATAAAAAAAAAATTAGTTAAAATGTTCCTATTTTATTTTTAAAAGGATTAAAATGTCACATAAGAATTATGGTCAAAGCTTTAAGTACTTAACCATCATTTTAGTCTAAAGTATTAGCCTCTAGGACCCACATGGAAAAAATGAATGATTTTCCTGGGCACTACGATGAGGAATGTTCATGTGAAACCTACACTAAAACCAGGAAGTAGTCCTCAGACCAGAGCAGGGAAACACTGCCTGGTTCAAAATCAAGAAAGGAGTGTGTCAGTGTTGCATCCTCTTTCCATACCTTTTCAATCTTTATGCAGAACAGATAATTCTGGAAGTAGGGCTTTATGAGGAGGAATGTGGTATCAAGATTGGAGGAATACTCAACAACCTATGTGATGGCAAAGCCTTGCTTGCTGAAAGTGAGGAGGACTTGAAGTACTTGCTGCAGAAGGTCAAGGATTATAGTCTTCAATATGGTTTGACATGAATCTATGAAGACATAGATTCAGCACCAGTGGACCAATTGGCATCACCATGATAGATGGAGAAGAGATTAAAGTTGTTAATAATTTTAGCTGGATTGCCTCCACAATCAACATTCTTTTGACATAAGCAGTCAGGAAATCAAAAGACTAATTGCACTAGAAAATATGTGCTGTCGGGGATTTCTCCAGAGTACTGAGAGGCAACGATGTCAGTCTAAAGACTAAGGCACACCTGATCCAGGCCATGGTCTTCACAATTACTTGTTATGCATCAGAGATCTGAACAATGACTAAGGATAACAGAAGAAGAATCGATGCCTTTGAGTCTTGAACATATCATGAACTGACAAGAAAACAAACAGGTCTTGGAGCGAGTGAAACCAAGAAGCTCCGTCTCACATATTTTGGCATGTGACCAGGAGGGACAAGTCCTTGGAGAAAGACATCATGCTCTGAAGGGTGGAGGGACAGCGCAGGAGAAGACGAGATGGATTGATACAGTGACAGGGGCAATGGAGGTAGATGTGCTGGAGTCAGTGCTACTGACTCAGGACAGGATAGGCTTCAGAGCTGCTGTACATAAGATCACTATGAGTCACAGGTAACTTGATGGCACATAACAACAGGATGGGGGAAAATAGGAGAGTGAAAATTAGTAAATGAGTAAGCTGAGTGAAAGGAAAGAAAAAAAGGGATATTCTGAGGCAGAGGTCACACTGAAACATTATATGCTACTTTCTTTTCTAAACTGTTTTAATGTCTGTATACTTCATATACTTCTTTATTTCTATTGGACAGTGCTGCTTTCTAATCTGAAGATTTCCAGCTAGTTAGCAGTGTTATTGTTGTTGTTGATCACCTTCGAGCAGAGCACGACTCATAGCGACCCTATGAACAAAAGGCCTGAAAGCCCCTCTGCAAATATCGACATTTATCAAAGTTCACAGTTTCTGGAGGCATGTTACTTAGGAAGTGGATGCCACTCCTGCTTCCAAAATTAGTACTAGAAACATTAAAATAAGTTGGTTAAAAATTAACTAGGGTATGCACAGAAATTAGGGGCATCCAAGAAAAGTGACATGGTCATGAATTTGGAGAAAAGTCAGAGAAATAATGTTTTTCTAGTACTCTAGGAATATGCCACAAGGTTCCAGTTTTCTATCTGTGCTCTGCTTGTTCTATACAATCCTTTGTTACACCAATTTTAAAAATCCCCTAAATTGCACACTTTCACTTACAGAGTGAACTACTTCTACTTCTACTTCCTTAACACTTAGAGGAGATTGGCTTCTATTTATTGTTTAATTTGTAAATGCTCCTCCAATGACCTGTTAAGACACATTAGTCTGTTTATTTTGTTTCTCCTAATAATGAGTGTATAACAAAAATATGTTTAAAATTATAATGCCAAAAAGAAAGCATAGCTGAGTCCTATCTCCTCACCCTGGTCAGCCCCTCAGGTTATCAGCTACAACTGTGGGGTCCTAATAGCAGCAGAGCTATGGACTGGGCTGGAGATGGCCGCTGAGACAATGGTTACCACCTTTTCCACCTTCTCAGTGCAGAAGTGCAAGAAGGGCACCCTTAGCCTCAATGAGTTTAAGGAACTGGTCACTGAGCAGTTGCCTCTCCTGCTCAAGGACGCTGGCTCCCTAGATGAGAAGATGAAGAGCTTGGATGTGAACCAGGACTCAGAGCTCAAGTTCAATGAACACCAGAGGCCTATCGGGGAGCTAGCTAAGGAGATCAGAAAGGAGAAGGCCCTGGAGATGACAAAGCCTCCTGGCAGAGATGGCGTGGGAGGGCAATAAAGCTTCCCTCTTAAAAAACAAACAAACAATGAGAAAGCATAAACAGTAAATGGAGAAGCGAGACTAGAATATACCAATACTAAAAGTACACTTGCATAACTACCCTAAATGACACAGAAACTTGTGTTATTAACTTGATAATAATAATAAACTACCTGCACTTAAAACTTAAGTCCTGAATGGGTTCCCCTCTAAACTGATTCCTTCTCTTTAATAAACAGCAATCCCCACTACCTAATCTAGGCCTAAGTTCTGATCTAGGATGGCTTGCCCCCAACAACAGGGTTGGAATTGTCTGGAAAATAGGAAATAATCCACAAATAATAGAGTTCCTAAGGAAATAAACAAGCTAGCAATGTGGAAATCATAATTAAGGAAATAAAGGGAGAAAATACCAGTACAAAAAAAATATAATAATCTCAGCACAGACTTAAAAAAAGTGTACACTCTCTGTGCCTGCAACAGTTTTCACAGCCTCCTATAAGCTCTTAATAAATTACACCTGAAAGCATGAACTCCAAATTGAGATCTCTAATTTAGTTCCCTTTTCGGAGATTTATACACATGTGTTTCCAACTGATATCTGGACACTGTGACCTGCATTTAAAATTTCTTTTGTCCTAAACAATTTTTCAGCTCTGGTGGCCTAGTGGCAAAAAGCTGCACTGCAATCCCAGAGGTGCTTGGTTCAAATCCAGCAGATGCTTTGCTGGAGAAGGAAGGAAAATCTCCTCATGTACCAGTCAGATTGGCACATAACAACAACAAACAATTTTTCACACTCCAAACATTCTTTCTCTTTCATGAAATAGCAACACCCACCACCTAGTTTCCAAGACCTAAATTCTGGTCTAATGTAGCTCCCCCCAGCTTAATCCTAATGACTCTACCTCCTAAATTGCTCTTACATTCTCATCCATCCTCACCTGTCTCCTTTGATACATACTGTTCATACATACATACATACATACATACATACATACATACATACAGTTTCTCTTCCTGGACCAACACAGTAGTCTTTTTTGCTTCCCACTCTCATTATTGTACAACTACACATACCCTTCAACCAAATCTCTATGAGTGGTTTGTTTGTTTTGTTGTATTTTGTGTTTTGTTTTGTTTTGTTTTGAATCAATAAAAAGAAAACCAGCACATTATTTAGACACTTTTTTCTCCATTTAGGTACAAATGAGCTGGTCCCAACAGATTCTGCACACTTCAATTTCACAGTTTTAGTGCGCAGGTAAGAATCTCTACAAAGGCAAACCTAAGAGCAGGCAGTAAATGGAAGGATCAACATTACTAAGATGATTTCATCTACAACCAGGAGAAAAAAATAATAGATGAATGGGACCTTCTAAGAATCAAATCCCTATGTACATCCAAAAACTTTTCCAACAGGGTAAAAAGGGAAGCCACAGACTGGGAAAAAGTATTTCGTAATTACATGTCAGATGAGGGACTTATAGCTAGAATTTAAAAAATACACAACAAGATAAAGGTAAATAATCCACTTGAAAAATGGGCACAGGATATGAACAGACACTTCACCAAAGAAGACATTCAGATGTCCAACAAGCACATGAAGAAATGTTCAAAATCCCTAGCTCTAAGAGAGATGCAAAACAAAACCAGTATGAGATATCATCTCACCCCAGTAGGAATAGA